TTTGAGTGAAAGAGATGAGTCAAAGATTTCTTATTTTAGCAGCTTGAAGGATTGGTTTTTTCATAACAAATCAAAATTTTTTAAAAAATTAGCATTTGGGAGACATTACAGATCCAAACCATAACACCTATATTGTGGGGGCAATCCTATCGTGAGTAAAATTGTGTCTCCTTTAAAAAAAAAAAAAGATGTGAAGGGCACTGAAAGAAGCTTTGAGTTGAGAAAGATCAGAAGTTCAGTGTTGGACCTACTAATCGTGAAATAATTGTTACACATTCAAGTTCAGATTGCAAGTAAAGAGATATGAGGGTCTGGAATTATGGGAAGGCCCAACATTTATTGTCTGACAGGATATATAAACAATGTGGCATCTAGTTTTCCTACGAAGACATTCTATTCTTTCACTGTTTGCTCTGCTTTCCCTCACAACTTAACTTTGTTTTCTGTCTTATTATTATCTAAGCTTTATTCTTTAAGATCTATCCTGATAATAATTATGCTCCTCCTCAATTTATTTGCAGATTTTAAATTTAAAATATTTGGAATTTAACAGGGGAAAAGTATCTATCTGCACAAAGATGCTCCGTGTGAATTTTCTAAAATGTTCTTTTTTTCTTTTAATGGAGTATTGGGGTTTAAACCCAGAGACACTTTAACACTGAGTCATATACCCATCCTTATCTATTTTTTATTTTAGATGGAGTCTAAAAATTGCCCAGGCTGACCCCAAACTTGCAATCTTCTTGCCTCAGCCTCCCAAATAGCTGGAATTATAGGCATGCACCACTGCCCTTCACTCTTCTTCTTAGCTTGTTATTTAAGCAGATCCTGATCCTTCGGAAGCTCTATTTGAAGAGGAACCTGTTCTGAATTCTCTCCTTTGTGTCCTCTTTGCCTTCTGGCCCCTGAGGAGTGGTAGTATCCTTTCTGCTGCAAAATGGAGCTGAGATGCAGCCTTGGAATCACTTTTCATGATCAGGATCCTGAGTGGTAAAAGGCTTGGTGGTTTGAGCTCTTGGACCATGAGAGGAGTGATTGAAGGGTGGTCAAATTGTTAGTGAATTAACTAAATGATTAAGTGAATTGATTGTCTTCTTCCAGGTCTCTCTGCTGTGTACTCAGTCTACTTGTCCAGCTCTCTTTTAGCTCCTTGAAGGTCAGAAAAACCTAGAACACTCACTGGGGAACACAAAGTAAGCTAACTCATTATCAATCCTAACGAAATATTCCCATTGCATGCAGAAAAACAACACTATGCCAATAACTCTTTAAAAGTAATCACTTATCTCAACTGATTGGCACATACAAATTCTGAACACTTTTTAAAATATTTTCTGCATGTGCTACTACTTGGGACAATGCACCATATCTCTCTGTCAGTCTCCCTATCAGTAAACAACGAACTGGGTATTGGCTGTCTCCAAAACATAGGTTGTTTCCACTATACTCTTTTCTGTGGTAAAATGTAATGATTTTTATATTGACCACACCTCAATTCCCCCTTATAATGTATGTACTATTAAGGATGGACATTACTTAGAAAAGTCATAGTACTTAAATAGATAAAATTATGTTGTTGGGTTTTTTTATATCTTTGTAACTGTAAGGCAACTCCTGGAAAGTTCTGACCTTCCGCCTTGACACAATCCACTTATTTCTCATCCTGACAACGTGGTGGCTTGAGTTAGGCCTTGGAAGATGCTTACCAAGGTTGGCAGCACATTGTTGGTGAAGTGTGTTTGACACGAACTGCCTAAGCATCTCAGGAGTACCCTACTCTTTCCAGTTTATTATATTGAGATACTTAGGAGTAATCATCACACTTAATATACTGGATCTGGTCCAGGGCATGATTCTTGAACTTCTCTGAATCTTACATTGACTCCAGAACCAAACCCTATTAACTGCTAAAGACCACCCAGGAGTAGTAACCTTTTAACTGAATGTAGCCATATCAAATTTCCCAGGGCTCCTTCAGACTAAATTGGCTCACCCAGGACCACCCAGAGGCAGCACAGAAGATCTAGTGGAGTTTTGGTTTGGATTCAACTTCCAAAGAATGTGTGATGTCTTCTCCAGCATTGAGAGGCCTGGCCAGAAAGGCCAGAGCCCATTCACTGATAGAATTGGCTTGGATGCAGTGTACATCCCACCACTTGGCTTGAGTGATTTGTGTGAGTATCAGCTGTCCTCATCTGAGGATCATAGCCTGTGAATTCTAAAATGAGAACTTTCCAAGAATGTTACAAAAGCCATCTTCCCAGTCTAGCCTACACTACAGATTGAGAATACATGAAATTTTATTCTCTCTCAATTGTGTTTGTCTGATTCTTGGTAAGTTAGAGTATTTTATTCAGGATTTATATTTTTTAAAAACTTATTAACTGGCCAACTATACATTATATGCATTATAACTTTTAGGTGAAATATCCTATATAAGTGAAAGATATTTGCATTGAAATTGTTATTCAGCTTATTTCTTCCCATGAGTTTGGGGAACACAATCAGAAACATCTGTAACATAAAGATTGTATCAAAAAATGAGTCCTGTGCATTGACAACAGTGGCTTGGAATTTAGTACTTGGTTTTTAGACCTGATTATGTAGGTGTGGTAGTTTAACCCACACTTAGTCGTACATTTTGTTTCGCATGAGCAAGAGCATAGTATGATAAATGAGTGTGTTGAACTTTTCTGTAGCTGAGAAATTTTGACCTTTGGAATAAAATATTACCACTGCCATATTCAAAGCCTTTCTAGTAAATCCCTTTAGTGACTCCAAATTCATATTGTTATTTAAAGTAATTTTTCTTGTGTACAGGTGTAAAGAGATACTGGTGTAGAAACACTACAAGTCATGATATAATCTGACCTCAAGCAGACTTGCCTCTAAAAAACCCAAGATGCTGTTCTTCTTTCAATCATTCATCAACTCAATGAGAAAGAATGTAGTAAGAAAGTTCTATTTGTGGTGCTCCTCTTTTCCCAAAATTCAGCACAGGAGGTTTTCTGAGTTTATGAAATACTTGGAATTTCACCTAAGACAGATAAATCGAGACCCAAGTGATTCCTTTTTTTTTTTTTTTTTTTTTTGAGAAAAATAGAAAGCCCTCCTACATCTATTTTTTGAATAGGAAGAGGTGAACTCAAGAGTCATTTGTCAACCACCATGTGGAATCATTTATGCCAGACTAGGCCATCAATTAAGCTGGAAAACATTGCCCTTGTATTTTATGGATTTTAAGGGGAACATGTCATACAAATGAGAAAGAAGGAGCAGCAAGACTATACCTGGTCGATCCAGTCCCCTGAGCTCCTCCAGTTCTATTCCCATAGATTGTCTTTCATCACCTCCTGGGTATCCACCTACAACTGCACTGCAATACCAGCATTCAGTTACACATCCATACCACTGGTTAGCAGACAGACAAAGAAATCTCTCCAATTTAGTCATTTATGTGTCAGCAAGAAAGGAGCCTCACTTCCCTTGTGGCCAGAGGACTTAACTTCTACATCACTGAAGTCATGACCAGACTTTTACAAGCCATTTTCTTTGGCTGACAATTTTGTTTTTAAACCCTAACAGAGCATCTGCAACTACTGTTTTACTGAACTAATTTCAAATGCAGTTGTGTTCCCAGTACTCTATGACAGTTTTTAAAAGTATGATGAGACCAGGAGTTGGAGACAACCATAGAGCAGATGTGTTTCGTTAGGATTTGTTAGCATCTTGCTAAATTATGTCATAGAGAAATTTCAGGAGGCTAACATCAGGTCAAGTAAAAGTAAATCCCTATTAAACATACATAATTCCATGACAAGCAATAAAATGCGAATATACACACCACCAAACTCCTAGCTCAATATGCAATGATCACAGAAATATATAACAAAGAGGGTGAAGAATTTGTTTAAAGTTCTTAAAATATTACAACAGATTATGAATTATAAGGAAAATTCATTAACTCAGTTTTTTGGAAAAAAAATGATTTAGGCACTTATAATCAGATACTGCCTGAGATTCATGGGATTCATCAGTGACTTAAGATTCCTGACTTCAAAGACCTTTCATTCTGAGATGATAGGGAGCAGAAAGAAACAAAGACAAGCAAGAAGTGAATTATAAAGCTTGCTACAAGGTGATAAGTGCAATGGAAAGATAATCTGTAGAGCAGGGCAACGGTGCTTCAAAATGCAGGGGTGGGAGAAGGCTGACAGGTGGCAGGTTGCAGAATTTGGGTGGTCAGTATGTTCTCGGACAAGTGAATATTTGAGCAAATGTGTGAAGGAGGTGAGGAGATTGGTAGTTGTATTATAAATAATAAATTATCAGTTAAACATGAACATCTAAAAAGCCATCTGATAAACTGCACACAATCTGATCAACAGAGCTGATGACTGATCATTTAAAATTTCAGAAAACAAGAATGATAGTAAAAAATCCACTTTTTTGGGTTCTTCTCATTTTGTTCCTCCCAAGAGCTGCTTTTTGATAACTGCCTTCTTCCTCATTTTTTGCTCTGCTTTTCTATTTTTCCCTGCCAAACTGACATATATCCTCTCCCTCAATATATGTACTTTTAATTATATGAATAACTAGAAATGTTTCCAATAATGCAATACTATTTTCTGATGGAAATAACATACTCACCTTATTATTTCTGTAAACACTTTTTTGTTACTCATGCTGTAGCATCAGAATAAAGAAGTGTCATTTAGTGATTTTAATTTTGTTCCAGAAGCCTTACCATGAAGTAAAAAATCCCCCAATTTTTTTAAGCATCCATTAATTTCAAAGGGAAATTTTCATTCATATTATCTCAGTACAAAATTTGATTTTCATAAATTGGAAAATACATCAACTGAATAAGTAAAACAGATCTGTATATACAACAAACAATGTGAAAGTAAAATGCAGTTCAAAGTAAATGCAATGAAGTTTCTTATGATCATCCAGGAACATGGAGATTGGATTGGGGGGTGGTTGGTGTTTATCTTCAGACAGGTTTTTGACATCCAGAGAAGAAATACTGGATGTTTGGTTTCTTAGGGTTGACATACAAATTATCACAAACTAGATATCTTAAAACAAGAGACATTTATTCTTTCATAGGTCTGAAGGCCAAAGTACAAATTCAAGGTGTCTGCAGACCAGAAGCTCTGACAAAAGATCCCCACTCCGTGCTTCTCTCAGTTTCTGGTGATTGCTGGAAATCCTTGCTGTTCCTTGACTTACAGATGTACCGCTCCAGTTTTGTCTCTGTATTCACCCTCCATTTCTATGTCTCTGGGTTCAAATTTTCCTCCTATCATAAGAACACAAATCATTATGGGGACAGAGCCTTCATTATGACAGCATCATAACTTGATTACATACAGTGACTAGAAGTTAGTACTTTGAACTTATCTTTTTGTTGGACACATTTAACCCACTGGATAAGAATTTCTTTTCTCTGACACTAGAACAAAATAAAAGCTAGACCTGAAAGCAGTTCAAAACACATGGGCAAAATGGCTTGAAGACTCAAAAGGTGCTGCCTCTTCATTCTTCCTGCCTGGCAGACTAACAATGCAAAAAGTGGTTTTCATCTTCAAATTCAATTTGTTCCATGGGATATTTTTTATTGAAATTATTGTGTGTTAAATAAATGTGTCTGTCTTTTTCTGAATGTATACTATCGAAATAATATTGGCAGGGCATATTGTATTTAATGTGCTTAAGAATGAAAAACAATTGTTATTCCCCTCAAAATAGTGCTATTTGAAGAAGAGTAAGCTGTCATGGTGAAAAGTGGCTAACCAAACAGTTATAATAAAAAATAAATCTATTTGTTCAGGTTTGAGGGCAGTCCAACTGTGATTTATAGCCATATATTTTCATGATAATACACTGAAAGAAATATTTCAAATGTATGTTATTAAATAGTCCCTTAAAGATACTTAAATATCTCCACAATTTAAGAATCCCCACACTGGAAGAGGAAAGAAAGGTGGTTGCAATGTGCATGCGATAAGGGCAGGGAAAGTATTCTCCAGATTCATTTTCTAATGAAGCAATTTGCATACCAATTATTGAATTATGTCTCGCAAAGGATAAAGTCTAACTAACCCCCATTACCTCAGAATGTGACATCCCTTGGAAGTCAGGTCTTTGCCATGTAGTCAAGATGAGATCATTAGGGTGGACCCTAATATAACATGACACAAACCTGGTGCAGATGAAACCAGAATACCATGAAAGCTGTGATCAAGGTGAGGCATCTCCAAGCCAAGAAATACAAAAGATTTCCAGCAACCACTGGAAGCTAGGGGAGAGGCACGGAACAGATTCCTTTTCACATCTTGATCTTAGGCTTCTAACCTCCAGAACTGCGAAACAATAAATTTCTGCTGTTTTTGCCACCTACTCCGTGGTACTTTGCTATGCATCTCTAGCAAACTAATATTCCAGCTTTGGTGTAAAGAGGGCTAAAATTGATAAGACAGAAAAACTTAGTTATCACATGCCTGGACCTTAATGTCTGTCTTGATCAGTGTTGAATGTCTAGAGTCTGTCCTATACAGGAGTTGCTGATACCATTCTATCCATACCCTCCCAGATAATGTAGTCTAATTGTTGGCGCATTAATGCTGAAAGTTGAAATTTGCCTTCTATACAAAGGTGATTAATTCCAAAGAGAAATCTGAGATGTCACTGAAATGTAACACATATGTGGCAGCAAATCTTCACTCCCAGGACACTCTATAAAAAAGGAAAGGATGAGGCAATGCACCTGACTAAAAATACACTTCCAAGCCTGTTTTGCTCAAAAGATTGCCAATAAAAGGTAGAAAATTTATCAGAAATATGTAAAAAACAGTTAGATGAGACTTCTGAAAAAGGTTATTCAGATGACAGAGGTTCCTTTGCACTTCTCCCATTTTTTGTCTTCCTCCAAACATCATTTTAAAGTCTTGAGGTCCAGCAACCATGTGGTGATCATAAGTGATGATCAAGTTGAATCCCTGATACTTTCATAAAATAAAGTCATACAGGCAAGAGACCTAAATAGACATTTCTCAAACAAAGACACACATATAACCAACAAGAATGTGAAAAATTGCTCAAAAATTGAACCTATATTTCTATATATGATAATTAATAAAAGCTACTTTTTAAAAAATTTGTATTTTTCTATTCAAAGAAAAATTAAAGGAAATATAAAAGGAAGATATCATCTGAATCATTTTATAATGAGGAACATTACTCAAGATTAAGTTTACATAATCTTTATCATCATAAAGTTAAAAGTACATACACAAAATGCCTATTTTAAACAAAGAAAGTGTGGGACCCAGAGCAATGGAATTGATTATGCATAGACTGAACCTCTGAAACATGAGCCAAAATATACTTTTTCTTCTTTAAATTGTCCTTGTCAGGTATTTTGTTCATGGTGACAAAACCTAACTTGTCCAGAAATTGGTAGAGAAGTGGGGTTCTTACTATGACTCACTTCACCACGTGGTAGAGAAGCCTTTGGAGCTGGTTTGCAGGAAGAGTTTGTCAATGTTTAGAGATGCCTTCGCCTATAGCCATGAGGATCAACCTAGCACAACCACAAAAATAAGATCGAATAAGCACTTTCACCACCTCAAAACAAAAACAAACTTAACAGGTGAAGGTGTAAGTAGCTGAAAGCTTAAAAGAAAGCCTATGAATGTATGTTGTCTTGCATATTTTAGCCATTTTTGTGACTTTGGGTATTATGAGTTTAAACATCACAGCAAAAATGCTAAAATTTCTGTCATACCAAAAAGTAATTTGCTCGTTCAATTTTCCATCCAATGAGAGATTATTCTGAGACAGACACTATGATAAATACTATGGATACTATAAGAACTAGATAAATATAATGCTTGTCTTTATGAAGCTTACACTCTAATGATACATGTACAAAAATTAAAGTTGAATTAAATATGATAAATGCTAACATTTAGAACTCCCTGAGAGAATGTTAGGACAAAATGTTCCCATTGGCACATTCAAGATCAAACACAAGTCATTTTCTTTTATGTTTAACTCAATGTTTCTCTCTACCACTTTTAGAAGGTATTTAGTAATAAAAATAAGTAAGGGTTATATTATAAGCATAACCTTAAGCCTGCTTTCAAAGAAACATGTACTCATTCTTAAACTTGAATCTGTTAGTAAGTTTGTATTGTATTAATTTCAGTGTATATTATAGTACTATGTGATGTCTAAGTATGAAGGCATTATTTTGAACATGGATCTAAAGTATAATCAAAGTACTTACTCTTTAATGCTAATTAAATTTTTGTGGCAGTAAGATGCTACCTTCTTTGATCCATATCTTAAATTGGTTGTACTTAAGGAGGTAATGCCAACAATGATCCATTAATAGAGCAGGAAATGGAGTCAGCTAATGTAAACATGTATTAAAAGTGAGAAAACTGTATTATTTTATAAAGTGGTCACTATTTTAGTATGGTAAGACAACAGGAATCACATTTTCAAGTAGTTGACCTCAATTTCTTGTTACAAAACTAAAAAAGTAATAACCTCAAAATGACTCTAAAAGTCAAATGTAATAATGAAATAGAGCACGTTATAGATTGCTCTTCATGATTCATCAAATACACATAGTGTTTCTTAGGCATATACAATAAACCCTTGGCAAGACTCCATATTGATTTAACAACACCAAAGAAAGAACTTTTAGATTTTGGCAGAATTATCAATCCTCCACCATGAAAATCTTAGCTGTGTATTGATTTGAAAAACAACAATAACATTGAATGAACTGGAATATTTATTTCTATTAATAGGTATAAATTGTTATTAGCTAATTTAGAAAACTTTTCTGTTGCAACTTATCACAATCAGTAAGGGAACCAACAATTGGAACACATGATAGCAGATCCCCACAGATTAGCCAGTGGTGGATTTCCAAGGTTTTCCATACCTCAAAATATCTCCCAATTTCAATAGTAAGGGTCAATTCTGCTGAAGTTCAGGCTTGAGTCACTCCAAGGTTGTTTTTGTACTAACTGAATAAAGGCATTCTTTGGAGAGAACTTTTTTCTTCCTTGTTTTTCTAACACAGTGCATGTCTACTTGATTACTGATATTATTTTATCTATGAGGATCCATGGAACTCACACAGATAAGTTCCCTGTGAAACTGGCACAGGTCTGAGCCTTGTAAACCATAGTCTCTGAGAAAATGTTTGCCAAACTCAGATTTTTGTCTATCCAAAGAAATTTCATCTAGTTTCTCCTCTTATCTCCAAGAAAGCTACCAACACTGGCAGCTGCTATAGCTACACTATAGCCAAGCTTATTCTAGAGTAGATAGTGCCAAAATAGTGGTGGTGGTGGGGGGTGCGCTCTGGGTTTTTTTTTTTTTTTTTTTTTTTAATGTTCACAGTTCCCAAGAGAGTAGCTGTCAACTGGCCAGGGAATGCATCTGTATGGGCCAAACCACAGATAATTTTTCTTATCTAGTGTATATTTATTTTACTATGTGGTATATAATAAATACAATCCAAATTTCTCATTCTTCATGAAATGTTAATATATGACTTCTGACTGGGGACCGGAAAACTCTGCAACATCAGTGATTTAAAAAACAAAAACAAAAACAAAGAAAACTGCAAAATAAAAACATTTGTATTATATCCAGATATTTTGACTTAATGCATTTTAAAAATCTACATTTTTGTAACTAGTCTCAAATAATATTTAAATATCCATAATACCCAAAATTAGAAGAACATTCTTATTCCATAAGTACGTTTCAAAGGAAAATACTCTAATTCTTTAATTAAGTAATTTAATATCTATGAATATTTCTATCTGACATTATTAAAAAAACAAATTAAGTAAAAAATTTATAAAAATGTCTAATCTTATAAGCATAATATTAACTGTGATTATTTAAGCTTTTATACATCTAGTTCAATATAAAATCCCTGTTCACCACTCCATAGTCTTTCAAAATAACGAAAAATTAGGAATGTTCTGGAATTTTGAAAACTAACACTAATGTCTTCTATTTTGAAAACACTTTAAAATTATTGAAATATGACTTCTTATAATTTGTATCTTAATGAACTTTAGCGCATGTATTTGCCTTCCTTTCCTTTGGCAACACATTTAAAATGAAAGTTACAACAATAATGATAAAGAGTGCATTCATAATAGTGAATGAAATGGAAGAGAATATACATTATACTAGAAAATTTAACAATAACAACAACAACAAAAATCCACAAAGTAGTTGAGAACTCTGTATCTAGCAGTATGGCAGCCTAGACACCCTAAAATGGTTCTGAAAACAACTAAAAATGTAGGATCCAATGTACATAGCCTTAATTAAATTTGTGAATGTGTTAAAAAGATAAGGATAGATGTAAAAAAAAAAGCATAAAAATGAACAATTATGTTGCTTTCACCATAAAGATATTTGCCAACTCAGATAAACTTGAGTGGCAGCGTTCAAGGTTTCACAAGTCATAGGAAGTCTGCGATAAACCCTAGATCCAAGTCAACATGGAAAGTCTAACAGATGATTTTCCAACTAAACTGGAGAGGATATGGTGACATATTCTTGGGTAGTATAAAATGTGAACTCTACCCCTTACGACCTCCTATTCTGCCACCCTCACTCCACCCCTCAACCATCCAGCCACACTCACGCCTCTGCTGCTAGAGATAAAATGAACATTTTATTTTTTTAATCTTGTAGCTCAGTGCTAGTGAAGGGGGAAAAAACTTTCCTAAGAATTTGTAAATACTAATAAATTCTCAAGGATTTTTGCAAACTAAGTCTATGATATCTGGAATTTGTGAAATATTTTCAACCATGAATGTGTTTTACAGTGGTTCTAGTTAATTAGTAACTATAGATTCTGAAAAGAAGCAACTTCAGCAACCTGATGTCCTTTCTGAAGGATACCAATCTTAAACCAATGCCTTAAAGAAATACCAGGTAAGCTTCCAAAAGATGTGAACTCATACTCAAAATCACAAAATATGAAAAACTCAAACACCATGAAGAAGAACCAGAGAATCAACAAGCAGTAGAATCAAGCCCTCAATGGTCAAATAAATCCTTTTTTAAAATGTCTTTTGCTAGGAAAATTCAAAGAAAGAAACGATGACATGAATAAAGAAGACTCTAAAAACAACAGATTAGGAAATAATCCAATTTAACTTTTAAGTAAAACAAAATAAAAAACCCAGGTTATGATGTAGTTTCTGGCCATATAAGAGTATCAGGAATCAGTTTTATTATTCCACCTTAAATAAAGATGATATTGCTAAAATATATGAAATTACAGTTTTCAAACATTATACAGAAGCAATTCAGATCTTTGATTGTCCAGAGAATGGGAATCAATGAGTGGAGACTTGTGACTATGTGCTCTAGTTTGAATATTAAATACTGCCCCCGCAAGGCCCATGTGTTGAAATCTTAATCCCCATCTTGGTACTTATTGATAAGTAACGGGAGTGTAAGTAGTAAGTAGTAGTACTTAATAATTTAAAAGTACTACTACTTAATAATTTAAAAGTACTATTACTTAAGTAACTTAAGTAGTACTTAAGTTGAATACTTATTTAAGAAGTAGGGTCTAGTGGTACGTTTTAACTAATAAGAGTGCACTCTTGAAGGAGTTTGTGAAACTCTCATCTATTCATCTCTTTCATTTGTTTTCCTGGTCATAAGGTGTGTGGTTTTACCATGCCATGCATTCCCATCTTGTTATGCTGCCACAGGCCCAAAGCAACATTTGTTATGGACTGAAACCTCCAAAACTGAGCTAAAATAAACCTTTCTTCTTTATATGTTTATGTTTCCAAGTATTTTGTTATAGTAAAGGATATCTGACTAATACACTATCAACAATGGACAGGACAAGCCCATATAGAGTCCAGTGGTGTCACTGAGATAAGGAGAAAGACATTGGGATTTGGAAAGGCCACAGCAGCCAGCATTTATTGGATGGGATACTGACAAAGGAGGAGCTGTATAGAGATAAAGCTCTAAAGAGCAATTCCTTGTTCAAATAGTAATCTCTGCATATATGAGATAAAGCTACCTCAGATGAAGGAAGAATAATCAGAAACCATGAAGTCAAATAATTCCTAGAGCTCACACAATGCTAGAAATATCCTACCATGTAACTAGAGAAAAAAGACTTCAGAGTATGTAGGGTATAGGGAGTCACCTCCAAAAGTTTATTTATAAAGATTATATACAACTTTACATTATATAAAAGTGAGAAGGGAAAAAACACACAAGATTATCTCAATTGATTTTTTATCACAATTAATGATGCAATAATTTGACAAATGAAATACCAGTTCAAAATAAAAGATTAAGAGCTAGCTAAAAATAGAGAATTGTATTGCCCTAACTTAAAAAGTGGGGGGCATTTGTTTCAAAATAACAGGTAAAATCATACTTAGTAATGAAAAACTAATGCCTACCCACTACAACTGGGAAAAAATATAGGCATGTGTTCTCAAATTTCATTTAACATTGTACTGAAAATTCAAGCCAGTACAGTGAGGCAAAAAT